CCCTCAATCAGGAAAGACTTTCAACCAATCTCAAATGATAGGGAAAAGAATCCTGTGAGCTTATGTTAACTTCTGAGTCTCTGTATCTGTATTCTTCGTTCATATTTGGCTTTCCTTCTATTTCCCTGTCTATCACTTCACATCTCATTCTTTTCTCAGATATGCTGACTGCTTCCTTTCCAGCTGGCCTGGGACCAAATAAATCTTAGACTATGCAAAAATGCATAGCTAATGGTGGATAGTTATGTTGAAAAATAGTACTTTGTAGCTGACAACTTGCTCTATTGAAAAGTGTTATCATGTTCTTTGTAGTTGTTGTAATTTCCATGGAACTAAATAGGAGGCATTACTTCCAGAGCAACCTTCATAATTTCAAGTTGGTGTATCTCTGCTTGCTTCCCAGCCACCACCAAACACAGGTCTTTACTGAGACAGGTTCACTGACTGCATATTACTTCTCCAAAATACAGTCTATTATGCAACTGGCTGTAACATCTGTTACAGTTTATTATGAGTGATACCTCCTAATTGGAGATTAAAGAAAATATGGGAAGGAGAGCCGGTCCCAATCCCTGCTTGTTCATAGCACATACCATTTTCTGCTTGTAGACAGTTTCTGAACTGTTCTCCATCATTTTTATTGATCACTAATGTAGAAATAGAAGGCTTTTTTTTTTTTTTTTTTAAGAAAACAGAACACTCAATTGGACAAAAAAGAAATTAAAGTTAATGTTAACATTTTAAAAGCTCCTGAGCTTCTGTGTGATTAATCTTCTCAGAGAAACATTATTTTCATGCAAACCGAGTTCTATGCAGACATGGATTCTCCCATAAATTCACAGACATGAAGAAAATCATCAGCTTTGCAGCTGCTTTTGGTACACAAGCATCACCTTATCTGTTAGAAATGTGCATTATGTGCTCTGGAATTATGGAACCCACGGCACATTTTTTGCATGAACTCATTTCTTATCTACATGTCTCCAGTCAATAGTTTCTGCAATGTCTATTGCAGAATAGAATGCAGCACGGAGTAAAGATATCCTAAAATTAACTGCAGGGCAGACAAGCAGCACTAGGAAGTAATGAACTCACTGGCTCTGAGAACCAAGCTACTGTTTACTCACAGTGCTCCACTGGGTGGAGAACGTGCTACTTTTTAAATACCTATTTCTACAGTCACATAAAAATCAAAGTGCTTCAGTTGCAGATCGTTGGCATTTACCAGAAATTTTCGTTTTCTGAAAAAACAGATCCATAGTTTCATTAACACCAGACACATCAGCCTCATTGCAGCTAGGAAGCAAGCCTGATTCAGCAATCCCTCCTATCCCACACATTGATGTGCAGAGACCGCAAGCACCTTGCTGTTTTTAAATGCAAAGAAGGCAATGCCAGCCCATCCACATGATTTATAATTAATATCTTCAAAGCATATTTCATCCATCTTAATCTTCTACCACCATGTAAATCTTTGGACTTTCCCTGTTTGAGAATTCTACAGAAAGAAAATAAGTAATTCTTGCCTAACACGCATTAGAAGAAGCCACAGTTTGTGGTTTGTCTAGGGGTTTCTGAAGGAGCAGAAAAAGGTATCTTACTGCCTAATTACACTTTTACTACTTACAGGTGTACTTCAGGGACTAGCATAGCATGCCAGCAAATCTGCACTCCTTTCTTTGGTGTTTAATGCAGGAACTAGTATTGTAAACAATTTCTGACAAAAATAACTCAAACTTTCAACATAATTCCTTCAATAACATTAAGAGACAGGAACTGACTGCTCTGAGAATTTGATATGATAGAGCCGAGCCCCATCAATCTCCACAAAATAAACTTTTTACTCCTGCATCTTTAAAGCCACATAGATGTCAGGTTACGTATCATCTTTCTAGCAAAAAATAGATCATAACTTCCCTTTCTTTCTGTTTTTCCTTCCCCCCCCCCATTTCTGGTGAGAAGAGTAGTTAGGCTGATGCTGAGTCTGTGGGCTGAGCTATTACCCACCTGTTCCTGGTAGCCTATTAATATCAGGTGTACTGAGAGAAACAACAAAAAAGTCCCCTAGTTAGCACCACACTACCCTTCACCGACCAGGTTATATTTGCTTGGACTAGTGCAATCTGGCCTTAAATAAAGAAAGCTAAAGGAAAGCCTTGGGGACCACATAACCAAATAATTACATCAGAAGATTACTTTACTGCCCACTCACTCATCTCTAGCCTGATGTCTCTCTTGTTGCTCTGTGCATGGAGCCAGACACTTACTAGTGACAAAGAGTTCCTAGCTCCTAAAATGGGTTGGCACAATACTGTGGACAGCAAGGTGTTGCAAACCCCAGTAAGGTCCCAGACAGATGCAGCTTATGTCAATAATTCACTACTTTCCAAATCCCTTGCCATATTCCTATTATAACCTTCCAAGAAGTGGGCACAGCTCCCTGCTGCAGTGCCTTGCAATTACAGCAAGCATTGTTTGTCTAGACCATTAGATTCCTACAGAACATATAGATGACCATACAGGTCATATAGATTGGCAAGTTCCCTGAAATTTTCAGGGAAAAAAAGAGTAGAAGTGAACATCTGGAGGTTTGCAATCAAGGCAGACTGCCACAGAGTGGAAAAACAAGGCCTCCATCCCCATTTAGTACTCTGTGGCATTTGCACTATCTTTCAGTATCACCACTTGCAACCTGTGCAGAAGCAGTGGGGATGTAGAGCTTCACAGTTATGAATACGGATGCTGGCAGAAAATACAGGGACTCAGACATTTTCTATTGCTTCCTGTGCTGACCTTTCCACATCATCCTCCTCATCTATGAGGGAGTAGTAGCTGGTAGTTTCTGTACCGATGTGATCTGATCCTCCACAGATCCTTCTTACTCAGGTGGAGAAGTGAGTCAGACAACTAAAAAGGCCATGAGAGAGAAAGCAGAGCATGCCCATAAAACCAGACACATTCCCAAACAAGCCACAAGGTGGAATGGGGGTAGATTTTCACTTGGGCTGTCAGCCTCCTTGATCTCAGCTCAGCTTTTAAATTTCACAGGACAGCAACTGCAAACAGTGCTTCTGAAAGGAAGGAGCCATTCTCACGAGGAAGATGCAGCCTTGGGACGTAGCTGAACATATTCAGCCAAAATGCACTAAGACATACAAGCTAAAGGTCTGAATTTTCTTCACAGAATCCCCTCTGCAGCTGGGAAGTCTGGATGGCACCTACTTATTTCCATTCAGAATGACAAAGCAACTGAAGTCATCTGTGTGAAGCAAGGGATCTGTGCTGAGGAAAAGAACAAGTCTATTTCTACACTTAGACTACAAAACTGTTCAAACAGTCACAATCAGAGACGTGTGCACTTTGGCACAGTGAAGAATGGAGTTTCAGATCATAAAAATCTATTAAAATCCGTATTTGAACAAAACTGGTATCGACTCAGCACCAAAATAGCCTGAGGGTTACACCTGCATACTCAAATTAATTTTCAAGTGCCTCTTCTGCTATGCAGAGTATTTTGTGTTACAGTTATACCACACTTACATAACCTACTTGAAACGTATTTCCCCTTGTTTGGAGCAACAGCTTTCTGCAGACGTCACAAAGTCTGATTTGGAAAGAAATTAAAGGCAAGAGTCTTTCCTCAGTACTCCTTCCTGAGTAGCACGCAGAATACCTGCTGAGCAGAGATCAAGCAGGTCTCTGCTGATTTCTGAGCACAGGTTAAAACACACTCAGTTGTTAATATTTTGAGGCTTATATATTAAGCCTTTTAATGGCTTCATCTTGAGAGTTCTGTATAACCTACTGTTAAGTGTTTTTAGACAGATCTTACTGGCATGGAGTATATATACATGTTCAGTGCAACATACAGAGGAATAGCAACCACAGAGTCAGAGGGGTTAAGCACGTGTCTCACCTCATCTCCGTCCCAGGGAATATTAAGCTGTACTGTCATCATTTCAGATAACTGCGTCTTCTTAAAGGCATCTAATGACTGCAGTTCTACTCCCCACTTCCTCCCACGCACCAGTAGTCTATCCAAGCATTTTGCTGTCCTCACTCTTTACTGTTATTCAAGTCTCTTTACTTTCTGTCCTAAATACCATGGAGATGGAACAGACCATTCTCTTCCTCACTGTGAAATCCCTTGTAATTTCCCCAAAGTCTCTTCATGTGAAATGGAAAGTTATTTCCATCAGTAGCAGGCTATTTCCTCCAATGGCAGGTTTTCTGCACTTCTCATCATTCTCACTGCCTCCCTCTTTATGCTTTCAAGTTGACACAAAACTTTCATGAAAACCATAGCACAAGAGTCCACTTACAGCCACTTGAGGCCTGAATCAGGCATAAGGATGACTTATGTTCTGTACAACAACTCTATATAAACTTACACTGGGTTATGTTTCAGCAAGTGTTATAAATTGATCAAGATCTTTTATTCCAATAGATGTGAAGCAGTAGTTCTAAAACAGCAATACCATGCATGTATCAAAGTCAATATTTTCACATAAACAAACTACACAATACAAACTATGCTAGGAAAACCAATGATCTGTTTAGGAATCAACAGTACTGTCATCACCTTTCAGTGAGGGGATCTACAACCACGAAAAAGAATCTCAGTAGCTAACCCTCTGTTATCCTGAAATACCACCAATGAAGAGCATTCATCAGGCTACTCTGCACACGTGACAGGCTAGAGACTTGGTCTAGCTTTCCCCATCTGACAGATATCCTCCAGACTGGGTCAAATAGTAGGTATGAATTAATTCATTACTCAAATCTCAAAGAGCCCCAAACCAGCACTGATTAGTTATATTAGGAAAAGTCATTTCCATCCTGTGACAGTGATTTTGAAATGAGTTTGAGATCAATGGGCTGCTCTTTTCCAACTCAGGGTGGATTTTTTTTAATTATTTTTTATTTTTATTTTTTAATTACAGGCAGAGGAATTCCTGTAACATAAAATTAGAAAATAAAATTCTGTCCTTTGTACTTACCCTTCTCTTTGGTACTCCTCGTCCAAATTTGACAAAAGCTGGGACCCAGCCACAGACAGATCAAGTGCAGCTAAGGGCAGATCTCGATAAGCAAAATTAACAAGCTGTACAGGGGCAATGCTTTTGGTCTCTTCTTCAACTTGCTGCGAAATTATCTCAACTTCAGAAACACCGCCTTCTATTGCAGGCCTGAAAACATAATTAGCAAAATAAAATCCTCTCTCTATAGAGGCACACACACATATATACATCTAACCTATATGAACAAATATAAAAAAAACTCTAGCAAATAAAAATAAGTTGGAGACAAGAACTTTGCAGAACCCTAAGAAGACGACAAATTATAAGGTCATTCAGAGAGGTATCCACAGTAAGGAGGGCCACATCAAATGTCTCCAAACTTGTCTTCAGTAGATGTCACAGAGAGCAACAGAAATCTCACAGATAAAAGAGAACAGCATGTTACACTCCGCTTCAAAAGCACTAAATATAAACAAACGTGTTATGAACAAACAAATGTGGAAACAGTGTATGAAACCAAAAGCAAAATATTTGTGCAAAACAGTCGAGAACAACAGAAAGAAGGCATGCAACTACACATCTAAAAACTCATTGCTTTGTAACTTGGACAAGTGAACAACGAATAGTTAAGCTATTAATTATTACACAAATCAGTATTTAATGGATGCATTTTGACCCCCTTACTGTGGATCACTACTATCAAAGAGCCTTTGAGAGATGGTGACTTGATTTCATTCAACCACAGAAGATTACTTGGTTACATGTTACTTCAAAACAATTCTGAAAGGAGAACAAAGACTCAGAAGAATTATGAACTCCTCTATAAAGCTTATCTTAAGCAGACATTTGTACAGCTTTTAAGTCTGGACGCACTTTTCTACCACTCCAGCAACATTGCATGCAAGTAAAAACAGCATCTGACTATATCCGTGTCCTCCACGTTTAAAGTACTACTTACTTAGAACTCAAACTTTGTCAGCTAGCATACCTTCCTGCACATGAAGGATGAATTCATTGTACGAGAAAGCTTGTATGAGAAGTCCCAGTAGGGACTGATCCTTTGCACTTCCCAGTGAGAGCTCCTTGCCTCACATGATTCAGAGTAGAGTGTAAACAATCTGCTCTGGCATTTATCCTTGGGATTTTATTAACTTCTCAGAAATCTCATGCTAGTTTTCAGAAGCTTTAAACGGCAGGTATGAAGGTCTTTTTCCTTTGAGATACAGTTAAAAAGCATATTGCACCCAACTCATCTCTTATTTGATTGCAAAAGTTGCATGGGTGACTTTGCTTTAAAGAAGTTTATTAAAATATTCCAGCTATTCAGGCAAACTAATATGCAGGGTTTTGTTTTGGTTTTTTTTTTTTTCAGACAAAAATGAATTATTTAGCAGAGTTCTTAACTCATGTATCTTGTAAATCTGAAGATGTGAGTGAAGAAGCTAGAATTCTAGATGAAAGGGAAAGAAAAACCTATTGCTCAGAGCCAGAACATCAGACTAACCCTTTTGGATGGAAAACATTCATCCAGATTTAAAGGAGCTAATCGCTACCAGCATTACACAAAAAAGTCATTTGAAAAACCTGAAAAAGCTTTTATAACTCAAGCATTTGTCAAAGAAAGGCTGTGCCTGTATCACAGAATCAGAATATCCCGAGTTGGAAAGGACCCCCAAGGATTATCAAGTCCAATGCCCAGCTCCACACAGAACCACCCAAACCCTACCAAACAGCAGCACCCAAACCTGCTCACAGCGCTTGAAATGAAGCTGCACAGCACAGAGCAGAGTAGGACCATCCCCTCCCTCACTCAGCTGGCAGTGCCAGGTCTGATACACCCCAGAGCCTGACCCATCAGCCACTTTTTCACCTACCACTTTTTTTCCCCCCTCCTTTCTCACTATAGATATGCTGGACATTTTGTCCAGAATAACACTCTGCGTAACAATATCAAAAGCTTTACTAAAATTACATCAGCTGGCTTCCCTTAGTCATGCAGGTGGGTAACTTTGTCATAAATGGAGATTAAGTTCATAAACAGAACTTTCCCCCTTGTAAGCCCACGTCGGTTGCAACCAGTGACTGCATTATCTTTCAGGTGTTTTCCTACAACTCCCAAAATAATTTTATCAGGCACTGAAGTAAGACTGACAGTGAGTCGTACCATCACACCATGCAGAAAGTAAAGGGAGACACTACTATATGTACAACCCAAAAGCTCATTTTATTTTACTCTTTGCCTAACCAATGATTGAAAGTATTGAGATTCATGTCATTTCCAACAGAACTGTATTTACCTGTCAAGTGAAATCAGAGGCACGAGCTAATTTTAGCAAGAAACTTCTCTCTGTGATTTTCAGCTTTAGTGACAATCTGTGAACCTTTACCCTTACAAGTCTAAGATAAGCTGATTCAGTTTTGCATGAAGACCATGCAGAGATCCCATTTCTAGTATTATAAGGGAAACAAGGAAAATGGATGAGTGCAGCCTTCCTCCTCACAACAGAATTTATCTTTTGTGTTTCTTAGACAGAAGAAACATTATAGGCAGGGTCTGATGTGAAAGGGTAGATAACTGCAGAAGAAGGGGAAATGGTTTTAAGTTGAGGGAGGGAAGATTTAGGTTGGATATCAGAGGGAAGTTCTTTACTGTGAGAGTGTTGAGGTGCTGGAACAGCTGCCCAGAGAGGCTGTGGATCCCCATCCCTAGAAGTGTTCAAGTCCAGGTTGGATGGGGCTCTGGGCAACCTGGTCTAGTATTAAATGTGGAGGTTGGTGGCCCTGCACGGGGCAGGGGGATTGGAGATTCGTGATCCTTGAGGTCCCTTCCAACCCCAACCCAGACCATTCTGTGATGTGACTGAAAAGAAAACCAAACCAACCAATAGACTGGTGTTGGTAAGCAGCCAACAGACAGTTTTGGTGAAAGGGAAAAGGCAAATGGATATGAAAATGAGACACAGTAATTTTTAGCCACTGGCTGTCAGCATACATCCAAAACTTAAAGCATTCTTGCTTTTTCTGTTAATTCACACTTTAGTCAACTGACAAAATCCCACTATTCCTTCTCAAAATAGCAACTTTTCCTTCTGACATCACAACAATATTCTCCTACAGGCAGGAATTGTTCTTGGGTAATAAAAAAAGTTATAATTATCCTTATATGGTACTTACTGAGGACTGGTCATGTTGGAGGATGCAACTCAATCAGCAGTGCTTATTGTATTCAACTAATTCCAGCTGCTTGCACAGATGTTCTAGACATCCAAAATGAGGCTTCTGCAAGAGGCAAAAGAAAGTTATCTAAAACAGTTAAAAGAACTCCAAAGGGCTGCACTGACAATTTTTGTTATGTTATCAGTTCACTTAATTATCTTATTTCCCTTTATGATTCTTTTTCTAGGCATTTTGTTCTGGATTGATTCCTCCATTTTATGGGAGGTGTAAAGCTGTAGATAGATACTGCTCATTATATACTTCCATAATAACACATCTTGCTTTAAATTTCTGGTTCACTTAGAGAAATAATAAGGCAGGGAGGATTTTCAAAGAAAGCTTGGAGACTCAGGAACACAAATGCTATTGAAAGCCAATTAATGTTTTCTTTTTTTAAAAAATACAATTTAATATTTAATTTAATATTGAGACGAGTGCTAGTTTTGTCTACAAAGTCTGGGGGTTTGTTGTCAAACATTCTGGACAGGTTGCTACCAAGACAATATTCTGATCAACAGTCCACTAACATTTGGAAAAGGTGACACACATTTGCCTATGGCAAAATCTTAACTTGCGGTGTACCTGAACCAATGCATGGGAACCAGAATGGAAAACAGCAATCAGATGAGAAGAAAACTTATCAGTATATAGGTTTTAATAGCTGGAAAATATAACCTGGAAAATACCACATAAGAAATACAAATTCATAGACAATTACATTGTAAGAAATCCTGTAAAGCTACTGTCAGGATTATAACTCACTAATTGAAACCAGTAACTAAAATACAAAACCACGCTCTTTGTTTAAGCAGAAATACACTGGTTGGTAAACTAGCATATTACCAACATCAAGCAATTTTCACAGTGATGAAAAATAATTCTTATACTAAACCAGAGTCATTAACAGGCTGAACTGTTAGTATCAGTCAAGCATTTACGACAGAGATATACAACAACTGCATTATCTATGGTAGTCACTTGATGCCACATAAAACTGAACTTACATCAATTGTAGAGCCATTTCCAAGGCTTTATTTAACATACTGTAAACTTGTAATAATGTAAAATGTAGTCAATCCATTCTCAGATTTTTCAGATAATACACCTGCATATACAAAAAGAAAGGATCTGGATTATGATCAGCTTCCTCAGACAGACAAGCTAGCCAAAAAGAATTATTCATAATATATTCATATTATATTCATAATCATATTATATTCATAATACAAGAAGAAATACAATTGACTTTAAAACAGAAAACATACATCTTTCAGAAAAAACAATACTCCATTTTTTCTGTAAGCTTTAAATACTTATAACATCAGAGTAACAAACCAACTATTTTTTAGATATACTTTCTCAGATATAGCACAATCTTGATCCAATATTCGTTTGATATCAATGCAAATCTCTTCCCTTCTATTCTTGGTCTTTTATTGATTATATTCCCCAGACAGTAAGATACTAAAGCAAATGCCTAAAATTAAAAGTCTGTTTAAATCACATACTGAAAGGATGCAGTAAGAATATCTTATGCCTAAGATAGTTTTATAATAGCAACCATTCCACTTAGCAGCAGAATAAAACTGAAATGTCACTAGAAGTCTTGCCTTGCAGTGTCAGCTCCCTAACATCCCATTTGGGGTTTAGATTTTACTATGCTTTTCACAAAAACACATATGTTTTCACTCAAGTATTTTAGCTAAACTTGTTGTTGTAAGCATACGGGCTGGGAAAATGGTAAAGGCACAAGGTGCTCTGCACCTACCCTAATAGACTGAGATGGAAATTGAAAATCCTTCTGTAATCATGTCTGCAAGCCTGGAGAATAAGAGGTAAATGGCGATAATGAATGCAGCTGAGAGAAACTGGCCTCTGAGAGATGTAGAAAGGGAAATTTCTTCATGTAGTTGAAAAACCACTGTTTGTTTGGGAGACAGCTCAGTGCTAATACTCCACCCAACAAGAACACTACAAATGTACAGCCAGATTTTTAAAAGTATTATCTAAAGATTTTAAGGGAACTGAAGTCCCAAAAGGGAGACCAACAATACTGCAAACACTTGAACAAGGAACGTTTGCTGCTCCAAGACTTATACTTTTCTTTTTTAAGCTAGAAGCACGTTGATATTCACCCAGAACTTTGATTCTCTGTTCAGCCATAGCAGTGGCAACAGCAATAAGCCAGATCTGCTGCCTCTTACTGGAGCAGGCAGCTCTACGGGGAAACATTCACTCACTACCAAGAGTGAAAGAGCAATTCATGGCTGGGCAGCAAGCTCTTCTGATAGCTCTGAGGGCTCTGCTGGGAGCAGAGTCCAACCTGCCCTCACTGAACAGATTGCTACCGTGGCATAATGCACTCACAGAGGTGAGATGAGTAATGTGGAAAGAAACCTGGGAGGGTTTTAAGTCTCAAAGGGAGGGAGTCAAGTCTCCAAAGGACTCAATGGAGCTTTCCTCAGAAGGAAAGCATAAGTCACTGGCACCCAGAATTACTAATTTAGTACTTGATTTAATGGATCAAAAAGTGGTTTCTGAGCACACCTGGAGGACAGCACAACTGAAGCCTTCAAAAGAGACTCAACATGTTGTATATGTAATGTAAACAGACTACAAGGACTCCTGCTTCTTTCTAGGCCACGCTCAAGCATCTAACAGCTCCATCCCATCTATTTGCTACCTTCCTTAAAGCTGGTTTATAGGAACATACAGCACCTCCAAGTTCCACAGGAAATTTCTGTGCAACTGAGTAGTGTTTAAAGGCAACAATGAACAGAGAGGAGAAATCATTTCCCTATATTTAATCTCTTGCATTCCTACAGGACACAGTACAGGCAAAGGGCAATGATGTGAGCATTATGCAGGCACCCTATGGGTATCCCATCCGCCATCCAAGAGTGGAAATTTTTCCAAGCTGCCCTTTCTGTACCTAGCCCACTCAAGGCTTGGTAGATAAAAACACCTTGATCTCATGGGAGGAGATTAGTTGGCACTTTCAGGGTAGGTTTTGTGCTCTTTCTTTGTTTTTTGCTCATTTATATTTTTCGTTTTTATTTTAACTTCTTGGAACTGAGGCCAAGGCAGCACATGGTTCATGCTGAGTTCCCACATAGCTATGAGCAATGCCCATTTTGTGAGAATTCAGCAGTTCCATTTGTTCTGTGGCATAAGTATTTTCAAGGTGAGATGACTGCAGAAAGAGCAAAGTTCCTCAAACTAAACAGAATTCATTTAAGGAGGAGATAGAGCAGAAATGAACGAATTACCCCCAGAAGGTTTCTTGTGCAAGTTTTGAAGTGCTGTAAAACCCAGAAATAGTCACTGAGCTGAACAACCAGGATAGCAGTCAGGTGAGCCAAGAGGGCAATGCAACCTGATGGGAAGCATATTTCTGTAACTGGTTTTCTGTGTAGAGTTGAGTTTGTAGATTCATTGCCTAACTAAAAATGTGTGGATACACAGTTCAGAACTCAGCAAAGCTGACTCAGCTCTTCACACCCCTGCAGTAAGTGAAGCCACGCACAATTCGCTGAGTTCTTTTTGAGGCAAGACCTTTGAAATGCTTAAAAATGCTTTGCTTGCCTCCCCAGCCCTTCTGCCTTCCTGTTCTTTGCACAGATATTACACACACCAGTGATCTCAACACTTCTGTGACACACCTTTTGCTTAATTATTTCTTTTTCCCTCTCATTTGTGGTGCACAGGCATGCAGCTGTTCCCACTCTTCATGCATTACTGTCAGAAGCACGCAGGTTGAAAAGCAGCGTTATGCTCTATAGCACTTGAGCAAAGGTTGATGATGCTGCCTGCACCCAACGCACAACTGCTCATGGTTAATGTGTTAATGTTTAGATCAACCTTTCACTGCTAGTCACTGTAGCGTAGCTTGTTAATACAAGAGTTCAGCTGAAACAATGCAAAGTAGAAAGCAATTTGAGTTTACATAAAATCAGAGCAAATGCACAGTGGCATATGCTCTGTGCATGTATCACAGAAAAAGAGAATGGCCTGGGTTGGAAAGGAGCACAATATTCATCTGGTTTCAAACCCCCTGCTGTGTGCAGATCGCCAACCAGCAGACCAGGCTGCCCAGAGCCACATCCAGCCTGGCCTTGAATGCCTCCAGGGATGGGGCATCCACAGCCTCCTTGGGCAACCTGTTCCAGTGCCTCACCACCTTCTGAGTGAAAAACTTCCTCCTAATATCCAACCTAAACCTCCCATTTCAGTTTAAAACCATTCCCCCTTGTCCTATCACTACCCACCCTCACAAACAGCCGTTCCCCCTCCTGCTTATACGCTCCCTTCAAGCACTGGAAGGCCACAATGAGTTCTCTCCAGAGCCTTCTCCTCTGCAAGCTAAACAAATCCCAGTTCCCTCAACCTTTCCTCACAGCAGAGGTGCTCCAGCCCTCTGATCATCTTAGTGGCCCTCCTCTGGACCTGGTCCAAGAGATCAATATCCTTCCTGTACTGGGAGCCCCAGGCCTGGATGCAATACTGCAGATGGGGCCTTAGAGAATATATATATTTTCCAAACCTTTAAGAAAAGCAACAAGAACACCACCCAAGGGGAACTTCAAAAGAAATCTGGACTCTACATATGCATAAAAATTATGATTTCTAGCACTGGTTTCAAATGTCTCCCACAATTTGTGTCACAGTGTGGCAATAAATAAGTTAATTAAAAAGCCTGAAACAAACAAAAAGATTGACCAGAAAGAAGAAAACATCTAATTTAAGCTTTTTGCACCAAAGTCCCTTCTAACTTGTATTGGACCCTTTTCAATTAAGTTAAAGTCAAGACCATGGTGTTCACTTACTTGTTGCATTTGCTCATGTTCTCCATGGAATATTATCATGATGCTGTAAGCTCCCCTAGTCACACACTAAATGAACCATCACACATTACTATGTAAGTTTACAATCAGTAAGATTGTAAGGCATGTAATAACAATAGATTTCCCTTTAAAAAAAAAAAAAAGTGCTTCTCCAATGCAGGGAAAAGCACAGCTCCAAAAACAGTTGTGTCAGCACCAGGGGGTTAGGGCAGCACACATGGCCACAGCCGTGGGAACAAATGGCATGGTAGAGAAATACTGAAGTCAGCTTATATCAGAAAGACTTACACCTAAAATAATGTGCCAAGCCCTTGTCATTGGTGATATTAAGCTGGAGCAAGCACCCAACCTGAAAATGCTTCACAGATTTAGGGAGAGGGAAAGAAGAAAGATGATGGCTGGTCATACAATGTCCAAATTGTTTCCTTCAGAAATCCAGCAACTCGCTCTTCTTTCTGAAGGGGAAATGCAAATTCAGGAAAGGTAGCAACACCCCCTTGCTTCACTTCAGGTTGAACAAAATTGAAGAGGTTCACTGAGATAGAAGATACAAGAGATTGATTAAACAGACCCTCCCCCAAATCCTCTTTCAGCCAGCCAGCATTTTCAGAAAGTATTTGTTTACATGGCTTTAATAGGTAGATCCATAATACTTCCTTTATTTTCCAAAAATAACTGAATGAGATTTATCAGAAGATTACAAATGCAGAACGTTACAAAACAACGTAAATTAACTTCCTCTATAAATCGAGTACATTAGATACATGTTTTAACATTGCAGGTTCCCAATGCCAGTCATAGCTTTAACATTCCTATACAGCACCCAGAAGAGACAAGTACAAAAGGCAGAACTTTTCATTTCACAGGAAAAAGGGACACTGAATTTTGAATCTTCGTCGATGATCTACAGTCAAACTTTTATATACATCATTAAAAAAAATGAAGGAAAAAAACCCTCCATCACAGTAAATGTATTTAGAGTTGGAAAAAAATCAGACATTCAGAAATCAGGAAATGGCAGATTTGAACTTGCTCATGCAGCCATAATTCTACCCCCTTATGGGATCACCCTGTATGCTGAAATTAAGCAGAATGCTGGGGGTGGAGTAGGAAGCATGTAATCCTGTAACTAAAAATCGCCTCGCTATTTGTAAGCGTAGTTCATATTTCCTAGAAAAGTTTAGACAGGCCATAAAAAAAAAAGAGAAAAAAGATCTTTTGCATAACCATAGTCTTCCCCACAAAACATTATGAGAGCT